TGCATATACAATGAATTCAATCCTCTTGTAAAGTTCTGTCGAGAAACTCCATGACGATTCAGCTTGAATTGATCATAGAAAATCATGTACAGGTTTCTTCTAGCGGAATATTCACACATGCAATCGGACAATCGAAGAACAATTGAAGCTAAAATTCAAAAACCGCCTATTGCTGAGATGTTTCCTTATATATCTTTATGACCCGAAAATTCTTTTGAGTTGAATTGTATTATGAGAAGGTTGGGACCAGTTAAGAAATTCAGACCAGGAAGATAGCAGAGTAATAGTTATTCTACTTTACAATCCCTCTGAGTTGTTCCCATTGCTTCTTTCTGTTACCTGTTCTTGATTTCATGTTGTTCTAGCGCGATTAAATGACACTGAAAGAGATATTTTTATTGACTTGAAGAGCGATTTATGTGCTCTCAGATCGCGTCCACAGTAAGTATCATCTTACGATGAGGAGTACTTTGCTGTGATAAGGAGTATGTTGAAAATAAATTGTAGCAATGCACAACATCGAGAGTTTTCTTTGTTAAACGTCAGCTACTCAACATCTATTATGCATACAAAAAGCTAAAGCAGTTGTGTACCTACTGTTTGTTGATTTCGAAAGGGGAATGTATATTTTGGAATGACAAACGTCCGATTTTCATCGCGGTTCATCAACCTGAAAACTGGAGGTGTTGAATAATTGTCAAACTACAGCTCAGAATTTTATAAGACATAGCGATTCGCTCGTGGATAATTTATCTCCTTTCTGTGTCTTACTTTCCAAGGTTCTGAAAGTTGTCCTACCATACATATGATCACTTGTGAAAACTTAAAAATCTAAAATGAAGACCCGATTGCATTCGTTTGCGATTACCACAAAATATCAAAAATTTATAGTCATTAGCTACTGATAGCTGCGCCAAATATAATGTAAATGCAAAATGCGCCAAATAGAAAACGTATACTTTCCGGTAATGTGCAGACGCATTCGCAAACGAATTTCAACATATTCAATCTCAAAACTACCAGCAAGATGAAATTTTGTATGTATGTACGAACGTTGGTGTTGTGTAAAGAAACAGATGTGAATTCCTCAACAATAATAATGCTCACCATCTCATTGACGCAATTGTTTTAGATAGGCGATATAATCATTTCTTTAGTCTTTTTCTCTTGAGTTATTCGCATCAAATAAACAAAATATTCGCTTTGTTATTCGTCAAAAAGAGACAATCCAAAACAGCATAAATTATAATAGTGTTCATTAGTTTTTATGCGTCAGTTTAATTGTGATGCATCTTGAACATCGTTGTTGGAGCATGTTTTTTGAGGAAACATGAGAAAAGCAAAGAAGTTAACTGGACAAATTTCATAAAAGCACTTGAAATACAGTTAGGTACATTGTCATTTTATCGTCATTTAATGATGTTTACAAAACCCTATTTCATCACAGAGTACCAACAAATATTTGTGAACGAGTTCTCAGTAAACTATTGAGACGGTGAGATAAACACGATGCAGACGAGATTTCGTAATTGTTATTGTTCAGTGCGATCTTCTCATAACATAAGATGTTGTGTTCTTGCGATGATCAGCCTCTAGAGGCAACACCATGTGATATGCGATCAAAAACGTTTTTTTAATTAGCACGAGCCAACTAATCGGTGCACTCATTAATTCTTCTATTTAATTTCGTAAACAACTTTGCAATGATTCACAGATGTTTTCCAATCGAATTGCACGTTTGAAAAAATTTGTACAATAATGAAAATCTCACAGTGATAAGTAAGAATGCGGTTGCGTTACATTATCACTTCTTCAAATCACGTGTGATTGGGAAGATTCAGTGGCAGCCTCTTATGACTATTAGATGGGAGTTGATGAATTATTCGGTTGAGTTCCTCTGAGCTGATAATTTCGAGGAATCTGAATTGGTTTCAATAGAACTTGCTGTCAAAAGTGTTAGCGTGAACATGCACTCCACCGTAGATACTGTGCATTTCGTTTGCATGCTTCTTTTGTTGATCACAATCAAAACCATCAATTTGGGAAAGTGTTGGATATTGGATATAGTGTTGGATATCGATTCGCTGAGGTTGTGAAATGCTAATGTGACCTTTTACGTGCATTTATCCTAATAATGCGTGCTGTTCACGCTAACTCGTGCTGTCTGTGTAGTTGTATGGTTGTAGATATAGTTGGAGAGTAGGGAAATCACATTTAAAATCACATTGTACGGATAAAAGTGGTCTGGAAACATTTCACGGTCTCTTGCGTGCACAAATATATTATTACAATCTCAGAGTTGAAGCTGTGTTTCGAATTATGCAGCAAGCACCTTACAATTAGTGAAAAATAATGACAGTGGTGAACAGTTTGATTCTTTTTAAACATGCTAAATGTAACTAGATCATTTTAATTTTGTGGTGTTAGCATGAAAATATCATACTCAGCAACTGTTATCAGTTCGGCTTAAAACTGAGTCGTAACGACTTTCGATGCGCTCGGAACATTAGTATTTAATTCATTACATTTCAAGGTTCTGCTTGCGTACCTAATGTGCTGTCCATAAAATTCCTTTTCCGTTGCAATTGCTAATTTGAAACTGTGGGAGATGAACATATGATCAATAAGGCGAAGCTTTTTGCATCTCCTGAAATTTCGAAGAAGCTAACTTTCCAAGAAAAGTTATAGTTTAGGAACAATTCCAACAATCAGCGATAGAAAAACTCTTCGTTCAGGTACAGGCGATGTTGTTTATGAGCAAAATGGCATTTTTGGGGAGTGTTTATTGGATTTTTCACATTTACATTGCGTGATCGCCCTTGAAGACTGTTCCATATGGTCAATTTGGAAAGGCGTATATAGCAGATGTTTGTGGTGTATGTGTCGAAAGAACTTATTGAAATCGAATCGCTTTTCCGGTGAAAAAAAAACATGGTAGATTTAGCTGAGACTGCAGAAGAGTTCATTAGAGACGGTTAACGTTGTGATCGTTATCGGAATCGATTGATTTGTTAGGATCGTTGCAGAGGTTTGGCACAACTGTTTGGGGAGAGTGTAGTCAAATGGCGCCGTAAACTGTTTACAGAAGAACTTCATCCTAGTGATATGTCGAACCTCCACTTCGTTCACAATAACAGTTGCTTAATAATGCATAAAAGAACAAAGCATGGGATTTTTGATGCATCGCTCTCAATCGGAAACAAATTTGTGTTTTTTGTTACTAGATATACGCCCGGGGATAACTGGATGCCCAGAATCATACACAAAATATCCAATATATCAGAATACAAGCGCAGTTAGCTGAATAGGTAGAAAGCCAGGAAGGAAAATAGGAATAAAATGTGTTAAAAGCGCATGATGAAATCCGTATTTTCGAGGAAGGCCAATATTCAAATTTGTCACTCTTCAGTAAAAATTGATCCGCTATTTTTCCGCATTCAATTCGGTGAGAAATTGATTCGTTTTGTGATGAGTAGTTGTGAACAAGGGCAAAAAAACGACTGTAAAATGATTCGAGTAACCAGTTGAGACAGTGAAGATGTTTCGCTTTAAAAGTTGTTGACCGAAAAAAAACACAGAATTTTGCTGTCCATTCAAATTTATGGTGAAATGAATGAAGGAATTTACTTTTTTGAGGGAGTGAGCGTTTCACTGTTACTGCGTTGACATTTCCCTGCAAGTGCTGAAGTATTAGGATGATTATGATAGATTTCGTTGTCCTTTCCGACTGTGCAACCAACATGTCTCAATAATAATTTGTGAGCAGCTCTTAAATTTTGATTTCATTCGCTGAAGCAGATTCTCTGCTACAACAGAATACAGAAATATGTATCCAGTTTATTTTCGAACTTTATGCATTCGATGTGTTGTTGGCCAGCAGTTGATTGCTAAAGAAATTCGTAAAATACCATCTTCAACTCAGATCTGTCCACTGAACATTCCTGTAACCTCAAATCACTTTTATCCAGTTCATTCGGACAGATTCTCGGCTAAAAGAAATGAAAAGATGTTCGCTGCCATGTTTAAGGGTAACAATAATTTGCGCAAATCTGTTTATGCAAGAAGAGGGCAAACTGTTTAGAGTTCACGCATAGAGGAGGAAATAATATCCTATTCGATACGAAGTGTGACATTTTCAAGAGCTCGTATAATTGGCTGAAAAGGGATTGAACTGAATCAATGAAAACAAAGTGTTGTGTTAGGAATGACGGCTATCACTATTGCAGGTCTGTTCCAACAACAGATATCATAACAACTGCTCTGGCGCAACAAATGCGCCAAAGCACAGCATCAGTACATCAACGGTGATAACGAGGTTATTAAACAGGTAAATACAAACAATTTCACAACTTCTAAGTTCAAAAAGTCACGTAAAGCATCGACACTCTCGTAAAAGTATCCACATTCTCAGACGGACTTAAATGAATGTAAGCACAGTTCCGAAGATCGAGTTAAAAACAAAACAAAAATTATTGTTCGTTGTTTCGACAATTTGATGACATTTTCTGCACCAACAATATGATTTCAACTCGACTTCATGTCTTCTCATTTTCAGTGCTAGCTAGTGTCACCGTCGGAAAAGCGATTGAGATAACGAGCGAAAAAAATATTTTTAAAGAATTATTGTGTGTGTGCCACCGAACGAATATAATATCAAACTGAAATGGATGGACGGGATAAAAAAAGCTTATCAGATGAAGCAACAGCTTCACAAGAGACAAAACGGTACATTATTCGACGACACGTTTTGATTTGCATTCCTACACCTATGCATTTGATAATTTCTTACAAAACCGTTTATAATAATTTGTTCTATTGTGCTGTTAGTGATCGATGCATTTGTCTGTGAGATGAGGAAACTTTAAGAATCATTCCAAAAGAAACTAACTTGGTTGAACCAAACCAATTTCCACATCTTTAAGAATTCAAAAATTAAACTGTACAACAGGAATAACAATTGTGAAAAGTAACTGTTGGATGTAAATTAGAGAAGTTATAGTATGAAATTGGAAGAAAAAGGAAATTGGACGACCGTAACAATGATTCAGTCGGATGGCTCGCAAGTCCCTTCATCTAAGCTTGAAAGGGATGCGACTACATCATATGCAACAAGTCAGTTATTCGGCACTTCCGTGTATTTAAATTCTTTTGCCCAAACGAAAGTTTTAACAAACACAATATTCGCTTTTTTTTACAGCTGTCACAATAAGTTTTATCGACTTTAACTCAATACGCCTGAAAAATATGAGCGATTGTTCGTTTGAAAGTTTCATCCCAAATCATTAATCGCAGTGAATCACCATTGAACAATGGACAGTTTTGAATAAATGGCACTTGTTAGTTCTCAGAAGTAACCATTTTCATACGCCTCAATGAAGATGCTTTCTTTAACAGATCGAGAAACAGTATATCATAAAAATGCTCGAACGGTCGAAGAAACACATTTGATCAAGAGTGCGGGTTCGTCCAACCAAGGATTCTCAGAGGAACATTGGAGTTCCGAAATTAAATCATTTGTCACCGCTCAACCACCTAAATTCATTCAGGTTGACACTTTCATATTTGTCGTTCAAATTCGAAGTACCCAACCGCATATATTATGCGAAAATTCATATTATTCATGCAGTCAGAATTCATTTGATCATTGACAATAATGTGATTCTAACAATCATAAACTGTAGGTGATCAAAGCATTTCGAGTGTTAGCCACTGATACGCTAACACTTGTTGTGGAGGTTGAGAGTGATCCACCAGCAATTTTCGAATGGTTTTGCAATGATCGTTCAGTACAACAGGATAAAAGAAGATTCAAGGTAATCACTCCACAGATTTCGCGTGTCTATATCAAACACAGCTCGTATTGTGATGAAGTGGAAAAAAGTTGAACCTGTTCAATGACAATAACTGCTGTAAATACCATCGTTCTTCAGAGGTCCTGAAAAATAAAAACAAAATACGCGTCTAATAATTCTATCTATGAGAACTGAGGAGATTTCACAGTAACACTTCTGTTGAGTGATAGGAAGAGAGAAATGTAGAAAGGTACAGTGAGGTGAGGTCAAATGAGGTTGTGTAATTTGGCTCTAAGGTAAAAGTGCACAGCAAAACACCATATTCGATGTCTTGTGATAAACAACTTTTTGAACAAGCAACGGAACGATGACCATCCATGCGCTTTGGATTCCCAAATCTTCTACTCGCTGAACTCTTTCATATTTCATCGCATCGGTGCGATTTTCGTCTATACTTCTTTTAAATTACTAACCGTTTTAATAAAATAATGTCGAAGTTAAGTTCTCACGAAGGCACATCTTTCACATCGTACTTCAGGTACGACACGGTTTGAACATAACCACCTTGACGGTTGAGGGCCCCGAGCAAGGTGTTTACAAGTGTACGGCCAGGAATCCAGCTGGTATATCCACAACATATGGTTATATAACCGTTAATGGTAATTGTTCAGTCGTTTTGTACCATCTTTGCACCGATATGGACGAAAGAATTTGCTCTTTTTTTTGATCTTTTCTGAGAAATTATCTCCTTTCTAATCCGATCAGAATGCTTCAGATTTGTGTTTTTTACCGAAGAATCCTTAACGAAGTTCATATTAGAAGATTTCTGAGTACATTCCATTGATCAAGACTTTGGCTAAGCAGTTATTTGCAAAATACTCTGTAAGAGGAAATTTTCAGCACAACCACAGTACCAAAAATGGACACAACAAAAGCATGCAGTCGTTATCGAAGAAAGTTACGAGACGACAAGCAGCGAACAAATCGGTTTGTAATATTTCAACATTGATTCTTGCATGCAGCTGTCGTTAGGTGTTCCACAGCTCTCACTATATGTTCTGTTGTAAATTTAAGATAAAGACTAGTGAGAAGATAGCCTATTGCGATTAAGCTTTCTCGGGAAAGAATTTTACGAGTGTTGTAACAATATAAATCGTGCATCTTAAGTGTATCTTTTCTGATGAGATTGGCCTAGTGCTGTTGATTACGAGAGAAGGTTAGTGATATAGCGTTAAGTTGAGTTTTTTCTTGTGAGAATTAAAGTAATGCAATTATTTTACACTGCAACGTTTACACTATTCTGATATGTAAAAATGCTGAGAAGAGAAGAGAAAATTGCACGAAAGATATTGAAGTAAGATGGGCAATCGAAATGATTTGAGCATTCCGAATGTCTTCAGTTAGTGCCTATGAAAATATGAAGCTGACTGGTCCGTATCATTGACTGAGAAATGTTTCCTTCAGGAGTAACAATAAAACAGGCACCCAAATTTGTAAATGGGGTGCCGAACCTCACGCTAAAACCTGGAGCGGAGGCGATTATTGATGTCGAGGTCGACGCATACCCACCGGCAAAGTTAGTGTCCATTCAAATATACTTTATGAAATTAATTGTAATTTTAACAAATTATCTACGCGTAATCAGTGAATTAGTTATTTCAATATGCTAAAAATATGCAATAAACTCACTACAATTATTATAACATCTGGTCTTGATTAATCGATCCATGAACTCATCGATCCTCTTCAGTACTCTATCGCATGTTTAAGTGAACTATCAATAGTTTTTTTGCAGATTCACGTGGTATGTAAATGGTTATGAGTTCCGTGATTCGTCGGGACGCATTGCGATTTATTATCCAAAAGAGAATCGTTGCGTTGCAAGATTTCCAATCCCACAAACCGGTGAATACAAAGTTGTAGCAGAAAACTCACTCGGAAAGGATCAAAGCATTGGCTACATTGATATTAAAAAAGGTATTTATCTTGTCAAACGTTTTTTCCGATTGAATAATACTTCAAAAGAACATAAAACATTCATAAGATGGTCAGTTATCCAATTTGTATGTACTGAAAAATTTCCACTTGAGGCAAATTTCGGATTTTTCATGGAACTGCAGCCATCCGTCAACGATGCGATTTCGTTATCTGATTACCAAAGGTAAAATCAAAGAAACATTTAAACATGATTCTAAATTCCAGAAATATCGGTCCATCAAACGGAAAGGCCACCGTTGCCAGTTGAGAGCGTACGACATACGGGCACTTTACCATTACAACGCCATCGTAAGTAATTATCACCATGTTTGCTTCTGTTCATTGCGTATAGTCGAAGGCTTTGTATCAAGCACATGTGGTCCACGCTTATACGGAAGAGGTTTTGGATGGATACCGTCGGAAAAGATTCATCTTATTTGGTCTTAGTTACCAATTACAAGCAAGATATGCTCTGTTTTCCGCTTATATCTGTGAAAGAAATTGAAAGTTTTGCAGAGAATTTATTCGATGGAACCGATTTCATGCGTTCATCATCAGTATCGAAGAATTATGAAATGTACGAGGAGAGCTCATATTACCAACGATCGACGAGTTTGCCTCGTCCAGTGCACAGCATTGAACGACACGTTCAGATGACTTCAGATGCTGGTAAACACCATGAAGAAGGTTCGCGAATTCTGGAATTCTCAACTGATGAAAAAAATCACACTTTCAGTCTGCTGATAATGCTTTGAGGGACCGCCAGCAATATACCATCATTTGAATTGTTTTATTAAGGAATAAAATGCCGAGTAACTAAGGAGTGGCCAATTTCTTTCAGTTTACTTAAGATTTCATTTGCCTTCATGCTTACATATATATCAGAGTAATGCGAGCGAGGCAAACATGAATTAATTGAGAAACGTGTGATGTGTTTGTTGTTATATTTATCGGTGTGCTTAGTTCAATCGTTTTATTTTTTTCGTGTTGAAATTAACAGAATTCGTATTCTTTCGCGAGATTTAACTCTTCATCTTAAGTTTTTTAATAGGTTAATTTGGTCTTTTAGTGAACACCTTAGAACTTTTTGTGAATTTGTTTTCAAATTCTCAATGCAGTTTAGTTCCCTCTGCTGCTAACATAGATTTATTTTATTTTGCTTCGTTTTCCGCGACTATACAGGAATTGTTTTCGTCAAAACAGCAAAACGATGAGAGGGGTAAGCCTACTGAGACAGACCAACGGCAATACATCTTGACTAGATACAGAAGAACTATTTGGGGTGGAAGATTGGAAGTAAAAAANAAAAAACGTTGGCCAAGACGGGATATCTCATGCGGTGCATCATAAAACTTACATAAACGATTTTATGGATGGTTGAAATCCGGTGTGCTATACATGAAGAGGGCAGTTGTTTTTATTTCAGAAGTAAAAGGGCAGTTACCCTATTCATCGATGACTGAAATCTATCGCGCTGTCGATCGTGAGGATGGTCGAACTGAAACCCTCTATCGAACAGTTAGCAGCGAATCAACACATACAATGCCTCAACCACCGAAATTCACAAGCGCTCTTCCGAAAGCCGTCAGTCTATCACCTTCTGATGAGCTGGTTCTTTCGGTTGACGTTAAAGCAGCTCCACAAGCTGATATTAAATGGAAGTTTGATGGAAGCGATGTGAAGGAAAGCAAAAATGTTACCATATTAAGTGAACACAATCGCTCAACACTAATCGCAAAACCACCAGTTCAACAGGGCCGTTACAGTGTTGAGGTAACAAATGAAGCTGGAACAATCAGCTCAGCCACAACAGTTCATCGTGTCGAGGAGGAAACATTCGAACAAGTCGATGAACATACGATCATCAGCGAACGTGGTTCAGCGGTTCGGAGTCGTTCATCTCCACCACCAGAAATAGTTGAAAATGCGATTACAGTGACGAGTGCTCAAGATGGTTGGGAATTGGTCGACAGAGCAGATCTAATGAAATCGTCTAGTGGATCTGTCGAAACAGTGAAACATGTCGAGACATCCACAAAATATTCGGTTAGTGATGATCGCAAGGCAGCACCACCCGTTCCTCCGAAACCTGCACCTGTGCAAATCTCATCGTTCACTTACACACAAAAAGTCAGTGAAGAATCTGGTGATTTGTCAATGAAACAGTCGGCTATCATTCCGCAACCGAAAACAACGACCACTCAAACAACTGAAATGTTTGCCACCGAGATGATCGAAGAACGACGACAAATGCAGCCATCAAGGAAAGTCTCTGAACCTTTACCAAAACGTCCACAGGTTTTACGACAACCACCACCAGAAGTGCATGTTAAAGCTGGTGAGAAATTAGTTCTGGAATCAAAAGTGGACTCATACCCAGAATCTTCATTCAAATGGTACCAAAACAATTTTGAGGTACGTCCATCAGCAAGTGTTCAAATCGAAGCACCAGCCCCGAATGAGAGTCGTGCAATATTCAAAAAACCAACGGATGGTATCTATAAAGTAACTGCATCGAATGTGTACGGTAGTTGTACGAGTTCAACTCGAGTAACCACTGAGGTGGTTGAGGAGATGCTGGAAGAGAGCTCAGTGTCCATTATACGTACACCAGCTCAACAGGTCCAACCACAACAACACATACAAAAGTTTCAATTCGTCCGGAAGGGTCGCGTCGAACCACGTAAAGACCTTCCGAAAGTTCCGAAGATTCATAAAAAATTCGCTTCACTTATTCGTATACCGCAGCACAAACCACTTGTGCTCAGTGTTGAAGCTGACGCTATTCCAGAAGCGACGTTCACTTGGCGTGTAAATAACTTCGAAGTGAGACCATCAGCACTGGTACACATCGAACGTCCAGCGCCAAATGTTTGTCGTGCCACTTTTACGAAACCTTCCGAAGGACGTTATGAGGTTATCGCCAGCAACGAACGTGGCACTGATGTATGCTCAACGAAAGTTGCAATCGATTATGACACTGAAGTTGTCAGCGAAAAGAGAACCACTATACAACAGGTCATCCAACCAACGCCAGAACCACCTGTGTTTGTGAGGTCATTGCCTCCTAGAACGCAACTGAGCGACACTGAGATCAAGGAATTCCAGCTGAATGTGCTAGTTGATTCGCAGCAACCCGTAACGTTCCGTTGGTTCGCCGATGGAAGTCTTTTGTCGAATAGCGTAGAGCATCAAATGATTAACGAAGCATTCGAGAGCACATTACTCGTCAGACAACCCATCCGACGTGTAAGGGATTATTCGGTCGAAGTTTCAAATGCTAGCGGCACGATTCGATCGACAACAAGCGTTTATCCGCCCATAACAACAAGAACAAGCTCTACAATTGAGGAACTGTTGGCCACTGAAGCAAGCACGGAAGTTCGACAAAGGGCACCACGTTTCACGACACCACTGTACGCAACAGAACTTGAAGAAGGTGAACGACTGACGGCTGAAGTGGTCGTTGATCACGACGGAGCACCGTGCGAGTTTTTGTGGTATTTGAATGGCAAAGATGTGAGAACACAACCCGGATTCCGAGTCGACTCTACACATTACGTGTCTACGTTGGTCGTCGAATCAGTGAATGCGAGAACAGATGGCAAACTATCAGTGATCGCAACCAACAGATATGGAACTGCTGAATCATCTGCGACAATCACTGTGAATAAAAGTTAGTGTCTTGCATTCGTTACTTTTTGTTATTCTAACAGTGGTTTAATCTGGATGGATTGAACGTGACTGCATTATTTTGTGTCGCTTATTTTGTTTATTGCATCCAGCAATTAACATTTCAGGTATTTCATTCAGTATTTCCTCTGTGTAATCTATCGTTTGAGCAGATATTCATGCTGGCGTTTCGATCACGATAGAAACATTTCACGCACACAAGATCTCAAAATAATGATTCATTGCATCTTTCGGAAGATTTCGATTCCTCAGTGCTCTCTCCAACTTTCCAGTGCAATGTTCATAAAAGAGAATGACCTTGATTTATTCGAATGAAGAGGAGGAATATGTTTGAATTGCAGGAGAAGATACATTTGAAGTAATCACTGTGTCGCCTACTCCGGCTGAAAGACCACCGAAAATCGTCAGTCCACTTCATTCAACCGTTTTCACAGCTGGTAAGTGTTTGCGTTAGCACTATCTGCTGAGCAGACTAGATAGCAATAATGAAATGAATCACCTGAATTCGTGATCATATTGTACGGTTAATGACATTACGATGCGACTAGCAATGTTCCTTTCAATTTGTTTTTGCTTGACAATTCGTAGTGCAGCCCTTCAGCATTTTAAATGTAACGAAACTATCTTTGTATCAATTACTCAGGAAATACTAATTTGTTTCTTGCTCAGGGCAACCAATGACTCTTCGATGTCACATTGATGCACTTCCACCAGCACAAATCATTTGGACTAAGGATGAAGTTGACCTAGCTGAATGGGTTATCAATGAAGATATCACCACAAAGTATGGACTTTCATCACGTTACAAGTTTATTCCATTGAATGAAACGCAAGAACATGTTATGCTTACATAAAAAGTGATTAGAGTCGTATTTCTCCTTCATGAATGACAGTCGGAAGCAGAATCACTATAAAATCATTCGAAAGTGAACGTATGAAACAGTCGATTACTATAAAGCAGGTGATGACATCTGCTTTGTGATTTCAGTATTTTGCCTGACGGCACATATGAATTGACGAAACCGGAATGCACTCCTGATGATGCCGGTTTATATGAATGTAGTGCTCGTAATGCATACGGTACTGCTCAGACAGCGGCCTACGTCACCGTTGAGGGTAAGCGGTACCATTTTGTTCAGTGGTTTTTGCTGCCGTAGCTTTACCTTCATGTGTGTTATCGTCTAACAATTAAGAACTTTTCTGAGTTCANTTCCTTATTTCCCTTTTTCATTTGTGAAGTTATGAATGTTTCAAATTATGCGAACTCTCCCAATATTTCAAGACATAACTGACCCCTTTTAACTATGGGGACTTTGATGATTCCACCGAAATCGTCTGCATTGATTAGTTTCATCTGGAAATACATTTGATTTTCAGAAATGGTCTACACAAAAGACGTGCACGAAGCTGAGGTAAGTGAATATTGAGTCAGTTTTAAAGGTGAAATATGAAAATGAACGTCTCTCTTATTGTGAACAAGAGGAAATTTTAAGACCGAGTGTGAGCAAGGTTTAAATTGCATTTCATAAAACGATCGGAGATTGAAGAACATGAATATAAAGTGCCCAACGGTTAAAATGCTTAAAGAACATGAATGCGCAATATTCAACCGAGTTTCATTTGCAGATACATGAAATAGCGATTACGAAAAGTCCAAGTCCATATGTACCACAAGAACCGCCAAGATTCACGGAAACGATGACAAGTGAAATCGAAGATGAAAAAACTGTTCTGAAGTGTAAGGTGCACAGTGAAGCACCAGTTGAGATTTCGTGGTACCATAACAACGTTCCGTTGACACAAAATGAAAAATATACAATGCGTTCATTTGTGGATGGAACACAGACATTGTCAGTTCGTGATGTCAGTAAACGAGACGAAGGTTTGCTTATTAGATCACTACGTCGCATGAAATTTCTATTGGAGTGCTTCCTGTTACTAAAAAAACAGTCAACATTTCAGTTGAAAACCTGGTCTTAAAATTAGTGGTTCAGGAAACTTGCCTTGCAGGCATCAAATGAATTGAGATGCTTATTTTTGTTAATTTAGGTGTTTACATGTGCCGAGCTGAAAGTCGGTATGGTGTCGCTGAGACAAGCAGTCAAGTGATAACTAAGGAAGAAAGACAAATCAGAGAGGAAGAAGTACTGATTGAAGAGCATACCGATGAGCAAATACAGCTACCCCAGAGAACCGATTTCCAGAAAAAGGTATTTCTTCTATTATTCCGTTCATAGGAAATCGGATTCCCCATTACTCAGAAATTTATTTCCTCTTGCATTCCGTTTTCCAAAAGCTGACATGACGCGTTCTAGGTGTACACCGATACCTCCGTGAAACTAATCTCAGAGACAGAAATAACAGATAGCGAAGAGAATTACAGTCGCACTGCTGAGCTGAAGAAGAATGAAGGTTCGTATCTATTTGCTACATCTTTCAGCTTGTATGTTTCTTATTTGCTATTAACAAACACGTATCTATAAAGAATGAAGTACTGATGGATAATGGCATTGATTCAAATGGAACAATCGAACAGTAAAATTTTGTTCAAGAAGTGAAATAATGTATTTTCATCGCTCGGTATCTTGCAAACTAATATCTGACATTCAAGAGTGAATTTCTTGCTAACATTGCCTCAACTAATAGTGTTGATGGGCAGCTGTTTGCTGGAGATATGCAAGCGATGTATTGGATATTAACGCCATATGTTACTGACATTCAAATATTGGATTTAATGCTCATTGTAGTAAATGATCATTTCAGAAGAATATAAATTGCTCGTCAAAGTGGCTGAAACGGTTGCGAAACGCCTTGTTGCGAATATCGTCATTGAGGAAGCGGTCAGAGAGGCGGCTTACAGAATCAGGGAGCAGATTCACACCAGCGATGAGGAAGAGATTTTCATCGAAAGAACGACTGAAGAGCGAACGTATGCACCAAGGTTCGATACTGTGTATTCACTCTCTGTATTATGAGGCTAATTCTTTTAACTACGTTACATTCGAAGTTGTTAGATTCATGAAATGTTTTGAAGTGATTTGAATGAGACAATAATTTATCGAATGCCATTTTTGCGCCTCTTATGGTACAGTTTATCGAGTTTTCGCTGGAGTTTGAGCGCATAATAACAGTCGAACATGTTCATTATTGAATACAATGTTTTATATTCCAGATTCGAAACCAATATCGAATGCCAAACTGTCCGTGTCGGTGATACTGTGCGATTCGCAACTGACGTCAGAGGGCATCCGACACCAAGAATTCATTGGTATTTCGGACAACAACGTATTCAACAATCAGAGTATGTTTCGAAGATTATGCAGTAATTGAAATTTTGCCGTCAGTGTACGATGAGATCAGGGTTACTGCTGGATTATTCAATGGGATGCATCTAGATTTCGTTTGCTGGAGTTTCACAATCAGTTCCGATCATGTACCGCCCCAGTCATATGCACAAGCAGAATGTGTCAGCTGCTCTCATTTTCATGAACGGAATAATTTTCAGCCATACTGAAGTGCTCTGTCTGAATGGACGGTCCACACTTGTTATCAGAAGAGTGACAAAAGAAGACGAGGGTGTTTATTTCTGTGAGGCTGAAAATCGTGTCGGAAAGGCTGTTCTTTCATGCGATCTCCGCGTTATCGACACCTCCACAGGTGGTAATATTGTGCTGCGTAAAGCACATTCTAAACCTATCATTAGCACAGTCTAAACCTATTCAAAAGGAATTTGTTACGCGCAAAAGACTTTTGCTTGCAACGTTCGCCATCTCACCGTCATAGAGCATCATGTTCTGTAATCGTGCAAAATTAGTAGAACCTTGATTGAATTACAGTTCTCATTCAATTAAAGAGCACAAATCATTGTAAGGTTTTCGCTATGATGAATAGAATGAACTCAACGATTCCATATGATGGACCCTGTCAAATGGCATCGTCAGAACAGAAAAGCTTATGATTAAGATTCTTTACATGAATTGAAGTAATGTATTCACTTGTTTTAGAACGTTTTCAATCAACCCTCGACTTCTCGAGGACTGCAGAATATGTTTCAACAGAAACCGAAACTGAAGTACATTCGAATATTCTTGTGAATCATTCGGAGGAGGCATTTGAACATCGTATATCATTCCTACAACCACGAACAATTAGTTTGGGTTACGATTGTCGCGCATCGACGAGTAAAGTCTACGACGATTCCGTAATTATCAGACGTGAGGAGCGACGTCAACGTTTGGAACCAGCTCACAAAGAAGTGACTTTGAACGTGAACGTCGAAAAGCCAACACCGCAGTTTAAACACGACGTTCAAATTCTGCAACAACGAGAGACGGACATTTCAATGTTGACTAACGAACAATGGTTTGTCAGTTCCGAAGAAGTTATGCAAACAAGAGACATAACTCTGACCGAAAAACAGAAGCGAGCGTATGGCCAAGATTCAACGGTCAACATATCAACAACGATTGTTATTGAGAAACCATCACAACGTGCTTTGCACGAAGTGATCTGCATATATGATGAAAGGGTCAGTGCTATTATGGTAAAATGTGATTTCCAATATCCGTATATGCTTGGGCTAGTTTAGTTATTTGTAACTAAATTTTGCAGCCTTCTATGTTTGAGCAGAAGCAATTTTTTTAAAAATCGTTGCAAATTATCAAAGCCAATTGCTATTGTTAGAATGAAAGAAAAATACATCAATTCATCATTCAGTTAAGTTGTTTGCTTGTGATAATAGAGGCATACTAAAATTCTCATCAACACTAAACAGATACGTATATACAGTGATTAACAGTGAAGCGTGCGACATTGCAAACAATCACTCAATGCTTGACAACTTTCAGGTAAGATTACCGGAGGAAAGATTCCATGCGGTAAGATCAGTTGAACTGCGGCAAATGGAAGAGGTCAATGAACTCTTCACCTCTGTTTTGGCCAGAAAAGTAATCAGTCATGCTCTACAGTTATTGTTTATTTAATCTACCAGCCAAACGTATTCGCTATCGCCCTGTCGAGTTAAATGATCTCAATGTACTAATCTTAACACTCACCCCTTACAATGCACTTAGAAATCTAATGGCTGACAAGAAATTACAGCTAAGGCCATGGAATATTTGTGACCAGGTTGTAATACTTGAAAACTATTCACTAACATTCCGTCACAATCATAAGTACTTTCCAAATTATAGGATGAACATCAAGCTCACGAAGTAGCAAACGTTGAGGTGAGACGTCCGCCTTCACAATTCGATCACACAACAACAGTTATGGAATCTGAAGTTGCACATTTGTGCGCTCATTACACAGCGCCAACAACATCACGTAGTGAAATTGTTGTCGTCGAGGTAAACCTCGTCAAATACTCACCCGTTCTTTCGGATAGAGTCACTCGAATTCAACGACCTATTCGAAGAGCTACCGCTGAGCAACGCATTGTCATACTTGAAGGAGTTACAGAATCGTTCTCCGAGGAAGTCTTCTGGAGCCTTAAAAAGGTAGCTTTCCTTCATGATGCAGTCATTCCTTGTGTCTCCTGAATCTCATGTTAAACCGTAGCAATTAAAATACAGTCAGTTCCGAAGTCAACCACAACTCCTTCATTTTCTATTCTTAACCTGTTCTTGAATAGGTGCGTTATGGTTACTGAATACGAGTTTGTTCAGAGAACAATTCTGACCTCATCTATTTTACCAGAATTTAACATTTCTGGTGTTTGTTAGTGAAAGGGAACATACATAATGGTGAATAAGAACATCATCCAGGCGATTTTCGAAGCAATCAAGAACAGCGAAATTCAAGTACTCATTGATATGTGTCATAATCGTCTTCCATAACCGAAGAATGGATGGAAAATTGCTGTGGTTTCAGATACAAAAAGCAGTCACTCATACTGGTGAGGCGATAACGAATGCTAATATTGAGGTACGGAAGCCATTCGAGCAAGGAGAGCATATCACTACGATTATTGATAAGGTTAAAATCATTCCAGAAATCCTTGCAATTGCTGCAGCAGCAACAAAAATACAGGTACCACTTCCTTGTTTACGATCCTTAATTCATAATTTCAGGTCTCAACCGCACCTGTTTCATTGCTTATTTCTGATTAAGGAAACATACGCATGTGTAGAGAGATTGTTTTAGGAATGCAAGTATTGTTAGTAGGTTGTCGATTTCATGATACAGTTCACCATGAATAAATTGATTCAAACTGAATAATTTCGGAAACAGCTTGAGTTCACGACTTATTAACAGAGATGAATCTAGGTTAGTGATTTTTACCACTCTTCAGATAACGAATGTCTACATAACGCTAACTAAAAAAGGCGAAGTGGCTCATCAGGCTCTCGTAATCGAGTATGAAAGTTACATTGAGGATGAAGCGTCCTTAAACATTGCACTACTCACCGTTCCAGCATTCCACTCTAAACAAGTGATCATTTAAAAAACATTTTTGATGATCTTGCAAGAATATTTGTTCAAAATGATTGATGAAAAGTGTTGATAATTATTGATACGGTATACAGGAGGAGATATGGACGAGGGAAACAAGAATTAAAGAAACATACGATGAAAGGAACATAGTGGCAGTCTTCGTTGAAGTGGACGCAAATTGTCCGAATCAGGTTAGCACTTATTGCACCGCTCATCCTTTATGCTGCTTGATATTCATCAAAAACCACTGAGATGAAATTCGTACTCAGATAATTTGTGTTGTTTTTCTTCAGTCCGTTGAGCTGGTCGCATCGGTCAATATTCCAGTAATATCAAATGCCAATTTATCGGGTATACAACGGTGGTCCACTTCTTCGGTTGTTGAAAGATCGGATTCTATAACTGAATCATCTTCATACGGTTTGTAGTACTATTTCTTGCACTAATTTCCGACTTTCCTTGATCTAATCATTAATGTGAACCACAAAGCTATGAGAAATTCATTCGCGAGCATTCAATGCACCTCACCATGAACTGAAGCTATTTGCTGTATGATCAGTTCCTGCATATGATCAGTTATATAATCGGATTTATAATCAACAGGACCATGCATAGATTGCCATTTCTCGTAGCATTATTCCTGGATTCAAATGCAGTATCTCAATTTTGAATATTTAAGGAGTGTTTGAAGCACCGAGATTTTTGAAGCAGCTAGAAAATGTAACGACAGCTATTGGTAACGCTCTTCAATTCAAATGCATTGTGAGTGGAATGCCAATGCCAGAAATACGATGGTTCGTTGATGGTGACGAAATTCACACGTCTCGGTAAGAAAACGCTTCTCGAGCGAAACACTTTTCGGTGTTCATCTTCATTCTTGCTTCAGTTTTTCACTACTTCAATATTTCAATGAATTGTTAAATAAACAGCTCACAATCAGTCATATTCACAGTTATATCAGTTATGATTTATTAGTCTACTGTTACTTTTAGAAACGCAATTTGATCTATACCTCTTGAATTATTAGCGAAAAGTTATGAGTATGTTTGTCAATTTAGAGAGAAGTTGGGATATTCAAGTACATCTTCATTAACTGATACATGATTTAGGGTATATGAAACAGTATACGAAGATGGAGTTTGCATATTGAGAATCAATGAAGTGGTTCTGGAGGATGAAGGCGAATACATGTGTGAGGCGACAAATCCGTCTGGCCGTGCGATAACCAAATGTTTCTTGCATACGACAAGTAAGTCGCATTCATTTACACCTCACATAAAAGCTTATGCACCGGCAATTGGGTACTTCAATCTTAAGATTCACTTGAATATTTCATCCGAATTTCCGTAGGACAGCACTAAATTGTCAGACTATAAGTCGATTTTATGTTTATGAAGAATGCTTTCGATTGGGAAATATATTGTCAAACCGATAAACTAAAACATTGTCACTTTTCGTACTGTTCACACGTTTAAAGCACAATGTTGCTTTCAAAATGCGACATTCAGAAGTGACCACAAAATGAACAAAAAACTTTCTCAACGTTGAAGTGCACAGTGTACTGAGAGATGAAGCACAAGATTTAAACGTTATAAATGATACACACTTGTTAGCGTATTCAGCCGTCAGCGAATCTGAATAAAATGGTTTCATATAGTGCTCAAAAATTTCGTTCATTTATGGCGGTGTTGACGAACGGACGTACGACACGTATCACTTTTCGTTTGGTTTGGTCTTTCCTCATACGCGCTGCTCTGTTTGAGCTCGATCTCTCTTGCGCTGAACCATCTTTCATATTTAGTGCTCTCGCTCTCGTAATCCTTCCTTTTTAATTTCATTTGTTACGTTTAAGTCTCGTGTTTTGTGTCCAGCATGCTGCTTGTCGCTGTCCACTTTACCGCTTGCCGATTATGCCTTTCTAACATTTTCTTTTTTTTCATTTTATTTCATTTTTCTTGGCCCATGAAGGGTTCTGCTTGCTTCTTCTGAAACGCCCAAACCTTTTAGCATCACCCAACGAGCTGAATGGTGAGACAACGCTCTGGCGACGTAGTCTTTCAAAAAAATCAATCAGTGAAGAGACGAATTCTTATGTCTTCTTCGAGGCAGTTCCGGCCGCGGAAGCCGTAGAGGTTCATGCAATTCTTGCTGAGAATGATTTAGAAACACCTCTAAGCAGCATTCACGATGACTCACGAACCACAGTTGGTACTGTAGATGCATTTGACATCTCATCAGCGGACAGTTCCATTGCTAGACACTTCTCATTTTATGATGAGCCGTCAAACGTAAAGATTTCGGCAACCTTTGTTGATTCACCTCAACGCTCTGATGTCTCGGCGAAGTTCCGAACGGTGAACGACCAAAATATGCAGTGCATTTTCGATATTGTAGCGTACAGTATTAACGAATCATTTGAATTGATTTACCGTTATCCAACTCCTAACCGTAGCAGGTATTTCAACCAGAAATATTCTACATCTTCTTACGAAACATGCTTATCGCTACACTTATCACGACCTAATGCCTTCGAAAGTGCTGCAATTATTGCACTTCAAAAGGATGTGAAAAAGACATTATTAGCGAAGCTGGCAGTCATTGATACAGCTGAAAGAACGTTGTCAAGTAGGCAATCTGTGAATGAGTGTTGCTCAATTATATTGGCTCTTTCTGCTGCTGGTAGAACTATGAAACAAGAAATGACATTATCTTGTGCTGCTCCAGGCATGTTCTCGAATGATCATTCAGAAGAATTTGCTCACAGCAGCGTTGAGTGGAATCTAACGAAGCAATCACCATCTGATAATGATTCCCTGACTGTTATGTCTACCGTGAAATCACCAACAATTAGAGCTCATGCATCGATTAATTCAAAAGAACTTGATTTGTGGAACGAAAGCTTCGATAATCCTTTTCCAGAAGAAGCCAGTCTAATTGACCAGGAAAGACTGCTTGAACCAAGAACACCACTGCTGCCTGAAAAAGTCACTTATAGGGGTCAGGAAATTGGACTATGCGTCCGAGAAATGGACGAGCCTGATATCGTTGCAGATAAACCTAAGAGAGAACTGATCGAAAAATACGTTGAAGCACTGTTCGACTTCAGTTACACGGTTGAAGATATCAATGGAAACGGCGCAGCAGAAATGGAAAATTCGAAAAACGTGGATACGTCTCTCGTAATGCCTAAAATAGTTGATAGGCATGCGGATGTGCATAACACTAGGTTAGCTACAGCAGCAAGTGAGGCAGTTATTACCAAGCTGACGGAAACGGACAGCGAAAAAGCATATCCTCATCCACGAGGTAACGAACAATCATCTATGGCATCAGACATTACGAGTGAAGCATCAAACAACGGTTCTCTTGTGAAAACTCCCGAGGGTACAGTGATCACTGAGGAGGATATTGATATGTTCCGATGCGAGGACATTTCTGAGCTCATTATGGAAACTATAGAAGAAGCTGAGGATAGCAGTCAGTGCGAGGATGTGTTTGAAGCGTATTCTGCAGATGGGAATCAATTTGTTGAGTTCTTCTTCCAGAAACCATCGCAATATGGAGAAGCCACAGAAAATCGTGGCATTGGATTTCCCTCTCCTTCTGATATGATCGAAAGAGGTGAGGCTAACAAGGAGGCACTCATTTTAACTGAACAACAATTGGCCACCAAAGAGGCTGCTTTAGAGAGCAAAACATCAAAACATTATAACTATTCTGAGGAATTAAATCGGGCCAAAGAAGCCGTGAAGAGGACTGAAGCTGAGCTAGACGAAGTAAGAATCAGGCATAGATCGATCTCACTAAGTGAGGAAGCACAGATGATCGAGCGTGCAATCTACGATATCTCTGATCGAATTATGCAACAGCAGCCATTGACTGAAGCTCAAGCTGAAGCAAATGAAGAACTTTTGCGTGCAACACTCGAAGAAATGATCATGGATGTCAACGCGAAACCTTCTAAAAATGGTTCATCCCTCTACAAAAAGCCGATAGCTTTACTGCGTCAAAAATTGGCCAACTTGGAACATTCTCTTATTGCTGATGAAGAAGTCGGAGTGATTATGGGTAACAACGAAGATAAGAAAACAGAAACTTTAAAGTTGGAAGCTTCGTCAGACCCTTCGCGGCCGAGTCCAGCTCACTATTCTCTGCATAACAAAAAGAGGATGGCAAAGCGAATGAGCTCAGAATTGGCACGAATGACACCGCTAACGAATAGTATTCATGAACAATTAAGTACGATCGAAACGATGCTTGACGAAGTGGAGCTGGATGAATTTGAGGAAAATTTAGAGGGAACTAGTGAAGATGCGAAGCTTCTTCAGTCAAAACCAACAACCAAACGTCGAGAAATGCATGGTATTTTAGTGCAAATTAATCATGAACTGAATACGATGAAAAGGTATTGTCGAAAAAATATTTCAAGGAAGGGTGCTGACGCAGTAGTTGGTGTGTTACAAAAGGTTCGCGGTAATGTTTCGTCCATTGTCAGTATGGTGTCGAGGAGCAAAAAGAAACGACGATCAAGAACCAAGTCTCCCGACAAACATACATCAAAAACAGGTTTCTTTTTCGGTACCGAGGCCTCGATCAATTTCAATTTATTCAAGTCACCAGCTCAAGAAAATGTCGATATAGCTGTTATGTATCGCAGCACATCAGATGGATCGACCCATCAAAGTTTAACAGATGACCATAAAACCGTGAGCGATTCTGTAAGGTGCCAGTATGGTTATAAGGTGCCCACAGGCTCCGACGATAATATGCCTACACCAAAAAGTGGTCAAGATATACCCATTAACAGTGGTGTGTTGCCAAACCAGAACACTGTCGGCCACCCATGTGATCTGTGCCCTGAAATCATTGTTTTGACCCCTGTCGACCTTGCAGTTCCATCTCCTTGCGTCTGTCAATCTATGACTAACGATGACGATGTTCCCGTTAGGCCTCCACGTCCCAGACGTTCTCAGTCAAGAGAAGCAGAAGAAAAACGGCTGATAGAAATGCTCGCATCACAAGCCAGTAATTTACAAGAAACACCTACGATTGCTGAACTAAATGTGGATGAAATTGCCGAAATTGCTCGTATGCGCAGCGAACTTGAACAACTTGAATCTCATCTAGACGACAATAAGAAGGATCTTTATGGATCCGATGTTATCAGTGAAAACGAGACACAGGAATTGGAAATCCGTCGAAGGACGAGTGTTGAAAATGTTTCCAGTGTTTTCCCTTTAATACCTGTCCGGAAGGCGTTTTTCACAACATTGGACGAAAACAGTTCAGTGCAGTTGTTCTGTGAGGAATCTGACTATGGCAATGAAAGTGATACCGGCTCGCGGACATTCCACGGCTCTGCAAAAGTGCATCCTTCTTATGCTTTGTCTGCAGCCGTCATTCCAGAACAAGGCGAAAAGTATACGGCTGAGGAATGCGCACGAGCTAAAGAACGTGAGATTGTATTGTTAGCTGTGCAAGAACTCGCAAACGAACTCGATTCCAATCGAACAGCCAGTATATCGACATCAGATGCATCGGGCAAATGGTCACGAAAATCAAATAGCACTCCATATTCAGATGTCGAAATTGATGTTGTTCTTGAACACAATGTAGAATCGTCTGGTCATGAAAGTATTGAATGCAATCAAACGGCCGAAGAATCAGATCAAACATCTTCATTTACAGATATCTACGTGAAACGAGATGTGGTTGAATCATGTTCATTGAACGATATAGAATCACTGCTTGGTCGTGATGAATCTGGTGATGAGGCTAATGACGTTCGAATAATGTTAACTAGTGCACCAATTGCTGATATGGTGAATGTAATGCCAACCATAATGGAAAGGAGCGAAAATTCAAGAACCAACTCTGCGATGACCGCAAGTCGAAGTAGTGCTACAACTACTACCGATAGTCTTCTGCCGCGCGTTATAAACATTGATAAGATTGAATCATTGCAAGCCAGTGGCTACGTTTTCGCAAATCCATACATTGAGGGCAGCGACGAAGAAACAATTGAGCATTGCGAGTCTGGCTTTTTACCTCTTCCAAGGGGAAAGAGCAAAGAGAGGAGCGATGAGCGAAACATTTATAGAATATCCGAGTCACAGATGAAGACATATGGAAAATGTGACAAAACGGAACAAAATGCGGAAAATGTTCCGGAAGAAATCTGCATAGATGTAAATTTGAAGCGTCGTCCCCGGAAGCTCAAAGTGTTGTGTACTCTTGCTCCAGAAGTGCTTATGAATGTTAGCGCATTAGCGACTATGGGTGAATCGGTTGAAGTTGTTGTTGAGCAACCATCCGAATCGCAGGGATACCTTGTGAAGATAACCGACGATGTGAGTGATTCAGTTCATTTGAGTGTTATCGAGGTGCTGCCTCCGGTTTCAATTGACGTCGAAGTTTCGTTGTCGAATGATGAACAAACCGATTTTGAGGAAGTGGTAGCAGTTCAACCAGATCGCTACAGGTTGCTCATGAAAAACCTTAACGATATGAATGCATTCATTTATGATGGCGGGGAGACTGATCTAATTGATTCTATGCAACGTACCGGTGTATCGATATCCATTGTAGCAAGAAGCACTCGTGATGCTGTTTATGCTTCATTGGAAGAGATCCCGTGGGGAGAAGTATCAATGCACATCTGTTTAAGCGAAAATGAAATGGTGCGTTCAATGAGTGGTTCAGAAACTCGTGCCAATTCATTAATTCAGAACGTTACCGTCTCAGAATCAAACGATCATGAACGCAAATCGTTACGGTCGCAGGAGTCTTTCAAATCCTCCCAGAAATCATTGGCGTTCTCCGATCGAAGCGAGCGTTACGATAGTATGCAGAGTTTGAATGTTCCAAGTTATGTGCTCAAGGAAGGCTCAACAGCAACAATCACATGTGAATTGAACAATTTTCTCAGCCCAAATAGTCATATTGACTGGTACAAAGGCAAAGCTGCTGTTGAAACAAAACCTGGCAAAATTGATCGTATCAGTCATGATTTGTTGGAGGTTTTAGTGATATCACACGTCGAACTGGATGATAGTGACGTTTACAGCATTGAAGTAGATGAACATGTTTATCCAGTTGCATTCCTCATAGTTGAAGAGGATGATCAATTTGAAAAAGCTGATGATGTGAGTAAGCCAACGTTTATTACACCACCGCAAACCTTATTTGTAATGGAGGGTCAACCCGCGATCATTTCGTGTCAGCTAAATGGTTTGCATCAAAATGTTGTGTGGTGTAAGGAGAGGAAAGTAATTGATGGCGACAATCATCGATTCAAAATCGAATCCGATGACAACGGTTTGCATCGTTTGATTATTGGTGAATCTGAACTCGACGATCAAGGCACCTATTACGCTTATGTGGATGACCGCTTTACAGCTATCACTCTCGTTGTTGAAGGTTGGCTTCTACACTAACACCTTTTTTTGTCACCTATTGTGTTTAATTCTTCGTCTTCTTTTACCACTCATTCGAGATTTTCAATAACACATTTTTTAAACGGCTTTATATTTAATTGGCTTTGAAATTTTACAGTTAGTAATCCGTTTCCATGCAGTGAAAGTGCAAGGCAAGGTAACTGGAACGATGAGAAATCCAATTGATGTTTTAATTTAACAATGACATTGAGACGCCGGTTATTTCTGAGAAAACGGGGTGAATTTTGGATATGGTTTTCCAAATTAGAGATGGCTTGTGATCGAGTTATATGGTGTAGTGATTCCTAACACCTTTGCGCCGACTAAAATTTCTGAAATTTTGAATGTTTCGTGACTCGGGAAAAATTAAGCAGTTACAATATTATTGATGAATACTAATGATGCACAGAACAAATAAACGAAAGGGAACTGACGGTGACCGCATCTGGTACTGAAAGTGAGGAGGACGATTATCGTGAATATGTTGTGCCACCGGGAAGTACGGCAACAATCGCCTGTGAACTGGAAAGCGACGATCTGAGGGAATTGTGCTGGCGAAAGGACGGAGAGAATATCGTTTTTGATGATGATAGTAAAGTTGAGCACGTTGTGAATGGCTTGAAACATTACTTAGTGATACATGATACGCAGCCGAACGATTCAGCTTGTTATAGCGTACGCATAAATAACGCTGAATTTAAAGTTGCTCATATGATTGTAAGTAATTGTGCAACCTCAATTGCAGGTAAACGTGCAAAACTTATATCCAATAACTCGCTGCATCATTTCTAACCGTTTTCATTTTTCGTATCCTCATGTTTATTACCGCATCTCTTTATTTCTTCCACGTTCTTTCGGTCTTCTACGCATCCTTCTCCTTCCGATGCCGTGCTTTCTTCTCACTATTCATGTCAACTCCTCATTTATTTATTTTTCTACTTTGAATAATTGAAATTGCCCGGCCGATAATATCAGTGAATCAAAGCGGTCAAAGTAGGAAGATGTGAATAACTCTCGCAACGTTCAAAGTTTTCTGGACTATGAGCTTAAACTATTTGCGGGTAATTCATTCATTCAATTTCATACGATGATGGAATGATTAAGTTTTGAAATAACGACAAGGTATGGATTAGATTTTGAATGTCTTTGGTTCCGAGAAGTCATTACGTTTGTGGTGTTATCATGAGAAATGCTGCTCGCTGATTGCACTCATACTTGCCTGATAGGTACGTATGCAGAATCTCGAATTTGTTGGATCCCTGCAAATACGTTTTATTTATACGAGTGTTATGCGACTATCATTATGCGAGTGTCAGTATCTTATGCGAGTATCTTAATTTTTGTCAGCAATTTGTTTTATGTTCTATTAGTACTGCTGTTCGCTCCATTCTGGTCTCATCCATTGTCGAAACTGAGGATTTATCGTCCAACTAACCATTAGCAGGCACATCAGGCTAACCCATTATGTAGGCGACAGGTAAGTGATTTGATCGGTGTTTTATAGTCACTACTCGTTTGGTCGTCCAATTTGATTTGGTCGTTGCCCGTTCGTCAATATTTTCAATCAAATTTCTTGGTTACACTTGTCTGGGATTGATTACACTTTGTATCTGAAAATTTCATCTTCGAGTGTGATCAAAAATTTGCTGTTAATGATAAATAATTTGCAAAAGTGTTTAGCAAAGGTGTTCCGAAAAAAATGTATATAAGTTAATCACCTCACTGAGTTGATCTTATTGGAGCACAGATTCATCGAGTTATGGAAAAAAACTCAAGTGTAAAGCATAAAACGGCGTTCTATAAACATCAGTGCATTCACGAAAAGTGAGGAAATCATGTTCAAATGATAGATGGAATTTTCATTATTTTCTTTCTGAGAAACTTGAATAAATTCATAAGCAGAAAAGCTGCATAGGTTACATCATTTCATTTTGTTTAGCACACTTACGAATGCGGTATGAGGTTGTTGAATAATGAAGGAAACTTTTATTGACAAAGATATGGTTTGATAACTAGGTAAAGGCCAAAGTATGGCCTGTCTCAGGCTCGACGATCACATTAGTAAACGTTCAATTCTAAGTGAAGCTTTTCGCCATGAGCTGGAGAAAGCTTTGCTCGAGGCTGAATGGTGTGTTAGTGCAAATTAAAATATGGTTAGTTCAAACGTATCATATGAAGACGCATCGTACAGCATGTAGTGGAATGAGTGATCACATCAAATTGACTAACAAAACACATAATTAGATAGGCGATCCACAGTATTCACACTGTCTCTCAAACGGAGAAAAGAGAAATTTACATTGGCGAATGCCTGCTTCAGCTTCGCATGGATGAAATTTTTGATGGATGGCTCAAATACTGATTAGTGGTCCTTTGAGCATAGAGGCGAAATCATAAATTTATTCATTGAGAACGATGTTGCATAATGTAACTAGGATATATTATTCCAGATCGCTCATCATGGCACTGGGAGCATTTGACAGAAAACTATCCTACATTTCTGTTGCAGCTAAAGATGCCCGGGTTAGGCGAAAAGCACAGCAGAATAAACGAATCAGCATTTAAGAGAGCAGTTCAGATTTTCACAAGGCTGATCAATTGTAGGAGATATGGCGAAGGAAGAAACGCTAGTACCAGCCGGAGCATCAGCTGTAATTCACTGCGAAACAATAACGCAAGAAAAATCGTTGATCTGGCAGAAGGATCGTCGTCCATTATCGCACGATGACCGCTATGAATATTCTGATTCAGCGGATGGTCACGAACACTCATTCACGATTCACGGAGTACGGAAAAGTGATGAAGGAGAATACGGTGTTATCATTTCCGAAGCCTACACGGCTGTTACAAATATCACCGTAATCGGTTGGTGCCTTGCGTTTGAACTGAACAATAATTTTCAAATCACCACAGATAAACACGAAAAACAGACCGAAAGTTGTTACGTTCAGTTCGCATTTCGGCGCTGCGATCACTCCGTCTTGTATAGTAAATTCCCATGCATAAGTATGAATGACTATCTTGACTGTTGAGCGCTGATGCATTTATGAGTGATAATGCAAGAAATGCTCGAATCAGATTGTAGCACGAAATACATGCAGCTTTTTCAGTTAGAACTGTGTATTTTAGATTCTGATTATCAGCTGATGCGCGGTGAAGAAGCAACCACAACACACTACTTCAGCGTTCCAATGAAGCGACCAACATTTGTTAGTGAAGCGACAATGAACTCAGTCGAGCAACGTCACTTCTATGATGAATATCAAGTTTGCGATGTGAACGAATATTTCGATTTACATTTTCGAACGCAATCGTACGAAACTCCAGTGGTTGTTCGTGAAAGTCGGTCTGAATCAGTTGCGTTATCGTGTAGTTCACGCGAATCGTCAACCGGTCGAATGGAAGAAGAGATTGTCGAAGTTGAAGTGAAACGTCATGAGTGGCAAAAAGCAGCCAAAGATGTTACCGTACTGGAGTCGCATGTTCTGCAAACAACTTGTGAAATGAGCCTTGACAGTACGGACTATGATGTGAGTATCGAATTGGCACCATTCTACGGTCGTGTTACAATGGTCGAGAAAGTGGTGACACCAACGCCACGAGCATTCGCTTCAATACAAATCGCTCAGCGTTGCATCGATGCAGATTTGTTTCGGACAAATGTTTACGGTATGTTGTCAGTAGAATCTATCAGATGGATGCCACGATATGAAAGCGGTGTTCAAATGAGTGTTTCGAGCACAAGGAGTGAAACTGTTGAGTTAGGCGCTATCATAGGATGTGGTACTGAGAATGAGCAAATTTCAGTTGTTCTCCTTACCAGTCCACCCATTTCACATGTAAGTAGCGTTGCATGCAGTTATGCACAAACCCATTTGTGGACCGAACTGTGTGCAGAGTTTGTTAGCGTTGTAAACACAGAAATCAGCCGGCTTATATCAAACGATACGGCTGTTGTGGCTCGGTTGGATTCAACGACGGTTGAGGACATAGAAAGCGTTCTTCGTTTACATCGTGATGAATCGAAGGAATTACTAAATGCTGTAGTGACGACTCTTCCTGAGCCAATTTTCGTACATTTTTCGGACAATGTTGCGTATACAGAACTCAGTCAATGGTTGAATTCTACGGTGATTCGGGGAGACTATTCAGAGATAACACGAAAATTAATCAGAACCTGCAGTGAGCACATATATTTGCAAGAATCGTCACTCGAAGAGCAATTTTCTAGTGTGGATTGCCACCAAGAATATGCTCAGGAGATGGCCGAATGCATCTTAAAACCTCATTTGGTTCCGAAAACAGCTGAAGTATCGGCTAGTTTTGCAAATGAACAGGTTGTCTTTTCTCTTGACTCAGCTGTTGTGCGGCAAACAGGATCTAATTTTGTTGCCAAAATGATCAATACTGCGAAAGAATGGATATGCCTACAGGAAACAACGATCGAGGACAATTATTCAGATATCTTCATTGAATGTGCAACCAGTTACCAGGATTGCTTCATTTCTTTGATGTCGCGTCCTTCACCAGAAACGGTTCAAGTGGTTTCCGAAATTGCGCTACAGAAGGCTCAGTACTTCTTTGATTGGTCAGTGGATGAATGCGTAGAGCGTAGGTTCATCGCAAGAGTTATGAGAAATGCATTCATATCGATGCAACTGCGTGGAATTACCATCGAAGAAGGAACTTTCGATGTCCTCATTGGTCGCAGATGGGAACGTGAGCAACTACAAGTTACTGTTTTGGTTCCCGCAAGAGCAGCCTTTGAAAATGCTAAAGCTGGATTCGCCTTCGAAGGAGTAAATTATTTGATGGAATCATTTGAAGTTCGCAGCATAGAGTCGGATTTCGTTGTAAAAGTTAGCAATACGCTATGTTTATCGGTATCGATGTGTGCGTCAACAACTGAAGAAATTGTGACTCATATCGAAAAGGAACAAAATAATTCTGCCGAGCATGCACTGGTAACGGTTATCCCTCGTCCACCGCCACATCATGCTGAAGTAATAACTGATATAGCTTCGCAAGAATTTAATAACTTCTTCGACTCTAGCCTTGTTCAGCGTATAGAACAGAGAACTTCAGTTATAATCTTCAGACAAGCATATACATCAATGCAACTTCATCGAACGCTCCTAGAGGAAGGAGATTTTGGAGTGTGGATGGGTAGAATTTTAGAACAAGATGAAGCATTTGTTACCGTAATTTGCCGTCCACCACCAATAAACGCTCGAGTAAGTGCAAGTATTGAAACGCAAGAGACCAGCTACTTTTTTGATTCATTTGTTGACCAGCAAGTAGAGTTCAAAGTCATCAGTAAAGTTAGACGTAAGGCTTTCACGTCGATGCAACTACATGCTGAAACACTGGAGGAAGGCGAATTCGATGTTTTAATGGGGCGAAGATGGGATCGAGAAGAGGTGAATATTACACTGATATCTCATCCGCCGCCAGTTCACGCCAGCGTTCAATTAACTCTTGAAGTACAAGAAGCTAGCTACTTCTTCGATTCGTTTACAGACCAAAGAGTTGAACTGAACGTTCGTTCGAAATTGGTAACACGAGCGTTCACCTCAATGCAGTTACATGCAGTAAAATTAGAAGAAGGCATATTCGATGTTTTTCTCATAAGAACGTCGAATCCAGTGGGAACATCCATATTATTGTGGCATCGTCCACTACCAATAAGTGCGCATGTAATGTCTCATATTGAGCTGCAAGAAGCCAGTTATTTATTCGATTCCTTTGTTGATGAAACAGTAGAATGCAAAGTCCTATCGAGAGTGTTCACGAGAGCGTTTACAACAATGCGATTACATGCAACAAGTATAGAGGATGGTCAATTCAGTGTATTTATGGTGCGAAAAACAGAGGAAGAAGAAATTTTCGTGTCAGTTGCCGCACCTACAACATCCTCACGCACTGAGACACGTGCTGGTTTCGCGTGCTTCCAAATGAGCTATTTGTTTGATTCGGAGGTTGCTCGTGGGATACGCCGTTATTTGCGAACGAAGGGAACTCACCGTGCGAAAGCATCTTTATCTCTGTGTGCGGCAAAATCGCAACGTGATGAAATCAGGTCATTCAAAGAACATTCTGACTTCACACATGAGCGCATGTTAACAAAGTCATTGGTGGATTTCATAGCTGACCAAGACAGAAGTTGCAATTTTTCTGGTGAAAGACACTTGCAGTCCGAGTTCGAAAGGTTAGGTGCCACTGTTACCGAAGGATACGATTCTAGCACCGTCATGCTCGAAAGGACTTATCAGGAGTCTACCCACGTTAGAATTTCTGCTGAGCCATCAGCACAGGGCATCAGTGCAGCTGCATATGAATATGCACACACGCAGTTGCGTGCCAGCGCTTTTAAAGAAGCGGAATTTCATACTTCACTTAATCGTCGATCCGAATCTGATGAGCTATCCGTGACGGTCGTGTCGCCGCTGTACTCCCATGCTCATCATGAAATGGCTCTTTCGATGGTTTCAAAGGCCATTCAAGAGGATGAAATGCAGAGGACGGCAATTGAAGAAGAATGTGGTAAAATCGTCGGAGAAATCGCTTCTGACGAAGGTTCGAAGATTTGAGACTGCCACAATTGATTAACACACTATTTTTCAATAATTTGCGTCACTGTATGCGTTATCTTTTTGTTCGTTTGTTTCACCTTGCACCACACACCTATTGCATAAAGATTAACGCCTTGCATTTGGATTTCAACACGACTAAAAGATGTTATGATCATGTTTTTAACACCAGTAAGTGAAAAACCAAAAGCGATCGAAAGTATGGAAATGTAAATATGTGAAATCATGCCGATCATTACAGTACTTTTCAAGAGGGGAGCAGTCGGAAGAACTCGATGAAGATTTATCATGAGCGTTGAAGTTGCGTGGATTGGAAAATCGTTTTTTTCGTTCTTTCATAAGCACTTGAAATGCTGAAGTTCATATCGATGCGTATCGAGAACAGGTCGGAATCATGATGTTCAGTTGACTAAGGGACATCTTTTACACTTGAGAAATGGTGAATCGGAAGATACTTTTGGCACTGGGCGATTTCTGTTTGCGGTGATCAAATGAACATTTCTTAAGATAATGAGGGGAAGCATAACTTTGTAGTCGAGTGGTTGTCAACATCACATGGAAAAGCACATTAGTGTAAAGCTATTGGTTATTCATAATACCGTAGCGTTAATAAATTTTTGTGAACGGCTTTCATTACCCTGAGGTTTTACAATTAAACAGAATTTGAATTTTAAGAGCGGAGCGTTGTACCTATTTCATTCTATGCTGCTGTAGCATGGTAACTTTTCAGTTGTGCACCATTGTTTACAGCTAACAAACTTTTGGAACAAATCGCCGTAGCGGTTCTATCTGTTAATTCTCACAATACATTCTTCGAGCAAAACCAAATCTAACCCAAATTTAACCATACTCTAGAAGATACTTTCTTCTGTGTTTTGCACAATCTTGAGGGTGACGACTACGGAATGAGTCTCGTTCAGTCACCTTCCGAGAAAAAATTATCGTCGGTAACTGCTTTGGTTGTTTTCTATGATCGTCTCTTATTGAATAATCATTAGTTAGACTTTATCGACTCATTGTATGAACAGCAGGCAGAGTTTTGCAATGAAAGTCTGTGATTTAGCTGTCGAGTTAATTGGTTCCATGATTCTGAGGTAAATGATTAGGTTTAAGCCAAATCACGGTCTGGCTGAGCTCGGAAACGTGAATACATTGATGCAATATATGGTTTTAAACAAATTTTTTTCTCTGTGAGTGCGAGAATGTTTTGCACGGAATCGAATAGTGTAGCAATGTCAGTGGTTATGAAAGACGGTTTTGTAAAGTTGCGATTTTGGTAAACGTTCTTCAGTTGCAGCGGTTAACAACTGCACTTTGAGAATGAACCTTGAATGGAACGAACTATACCGAAATGCTACTAAGCAGGTGATAGATGTGCTTGTTGAATGATAACAAGTTTGTGTGATTTCAACTCGTTTCTAACCCTTTCAGAAGTATCAGTTGTCGAAGATAGCTTGTCGACCTCTTCACAAGGAATTGCGTTCACGAAGCCACAGTTCATTCAAAGGCTTAACGAAATTTATGAATTGGATGAAGAAACGAGCGTTACGTTCAAATGCATTATTGGTGGTGTACCATCTCCTTCAGTTCGATGGTTCCTCAATAATACTCGTGTAATAGAAGACAGGTTGGCTGAGCTAACATTTCAAAGAGAACGTTTCCTATCAACTGCAATCAGCAGCTGATCTAAGAAGAGCAATACAGGAAAAACTGATAACTTATCGGAACGGGACTGTAGTTATTTTAAAGATCTTCGGAATATTTACTATCCATATTGAATGAGAAATTTACTGCCACTACGTTTACATATATTGAAATGCTCGATCAACCATTCAGCAGCTTATTGCACAACTATCCTTCATTTTTTTAATGACATTTCAAAGGTAAACACGCGACCATTCGGTAAAAATTTTCTTCAATGTTTGGTCGTAAACGTCATAAACTTCCGCTATCCACTCGATCATCGTTTCCATCATGCGAGTTTAACGCATTACATTCTTCCGGCAGAAAACTGAAATAATCTGAGCCGGAAAAATCCCAGATACATTAACGTCAAGTCAAATATCATTCTGAATTTCACGATATTTAAGGAACGTAAGCATGATTGCCGAGGATGGAATCTATCTTCTCAGAACGAAGTGCATAGATTGCACATGGAATGGCACACTTGTTTGTGAGGCCATCAATTCGTTTGGATGTATTCGGTCGTCATCAAGAATTGTTGTGAAAGGTGAGAAAAGTGGGATTTGAGTATTTGCATGATCCTTAAAAATGTGTTAGTGGAAAGCAAATATTTCTATCTGATAGCTATCGTTTGAATAAGCGATTTATGCAGAACATTCAAATGTGACCGTCAAGCATACAATTGTGCTCGCATCCATATTATTCTTTAACAGAATTCCTCAGAATCGCTAACTATCGGAAATTGATGCTTGAGTGCTAAATTCAACTCACTGATAAATTTCATCAATTCTATCAGGCCACTGTTAAACTCCATCGACCTTGTAGTGGTTAAGGTTTTCCTGCAATAAGATGTTGCCAGGCTTCTGGCAGTTGTTCACAGATATTGATAACCTGTATCATATCTCTTTTGAGGAGTGCAACAAATTGATATTCGCACCACCGAAAGGGTGTCTGAGACACAATCAAAAGTAATATCGGATTTATCGTCGATTCCTCGCAAACCGTCGTCTCCCGATCTAAGTACAACAAGTACTACATCGTCAGTGGGACAGGCACCTGAGTTTCAACAGCCTCTCGCTGAAAAAACCACTGTGAAGGTCGGATAATTTTTCTGCTTCATGCAACGTAACTAACAGATGCTATAATAGCTAAACGAAGCTTAACGAAGCACTGAGATTTTACGAGTTCAGAAGTATCGATCTGAAAATTGTGTAAAGTTTTGGTACAGGAATGATGATCACTAATTATTAACCAGCCTTTCATTGCTATATATGCCCCATTAATTCAAATTTCAATATGTTTCCCTTCCGCATTTTCGTCAGTGGTCCAGAAAAAGCTTTAACAGAAAGATGAACAGATTCAACAGAACTTGCGAATGTTCAGATCGGTGAAATTTTGCAACTAAAATGTGTGGTATCAGGCAGTCCACTGCCGACTTGTCAGTGGACCCGAAATGGTGTAGTCGTAGAGCAAAACAGGTAAGGAATGAATAGTTTCTAAATTCTCTAAGTTGACGGAGATTGTGAAGTCATGAAATATTTTCAAGCGCTCTGATGGGCGATTCAAACAGGGCTGTCTCAATGCGTGCCTTTGAGTTTTATATTGCTAGTCAATTTTTGCGTTTCGCATATTTCTAGCGTTCTGAAAATTAGATCAGGTAGAGCCTGGCTCATAGCTACAGAGGGCTAGTCCCCCTCCCCCTCCCAAAATTTTCCTCAGGTGGGATACTTTAAACTTACAATGCAATGCACTCTACGTCTTCGTTCAACGTGGGAATTCGAATATGTCGGGCAGCACAGGTAAGATGTCGGGCTGTCAGGTATTCTTTGATTACTATATTAGCCTTCCAAAATTAAAATAGCAACCTCTAAATTTAAAATGGACCTCCAAATTCCAATTTCCCTGACGATGTCCATTGGAGCTGCGTGTCAGTTCTCACGACAAACAATTCTTCGTTCAGAAAAACACTTTTTGGATTTTAGTGAAAATACGATCATATCAGAGGACGGAATTTGCATACTTCGTATTCGCAGCGCAACTTTAAAGGATTCAGCAGTTTTCCGATGCACTGCAACAAACACATCTGGCACTGCTCAAACTGAAAGCACCGTTTTTGTAGACGGTAAGTGATTCATTGTCAGACACACTGCGCTGTAGGTGTTTGCAGTAGTTGCTTGCGAAAGGCGTCAAAGGCAATTTCGAATACATCAGTGTGCCTTGCAGGAATTATTGAAGTCACAAGAATGTTTGACTAAGTATTTTTAAGAGCTTTTCGTCGTCGCACATGATTGATATTACTAATTTTAGACGATTTGTCACACGATTCATCGGTCTCAGAAGCACCACATTTTATTTTACCACTCAAGAATTTGGAGCCTTCTTCACGAGAGCATGTACAGTTGAAATGCATCGTAAGTGGCAGTCCAATGCCAAGTGTTCGTTGGACTCTGAACGGACGAACGATTGAAGAAGGCGAAAAGTGGGTTGATTCATTGATTTTTTAAAAGTTCTTCCTAGTGACAGTTGTAATCATATCGAACTGGCGTTCTCCTGAAATAATATTCAATGTTTCCAACGCGTGATTTTTTATTTAGGAGGCAATGAACTCTAATCAGTTCCCTCCTCAGTCCCCTGGAAATAAGTGAACCGGACTTTGTATTTCCTGATCTACCAACAAGGAAACATTCAGAGATCACTGCATCTGCTCTGAATTGCAGCACACACTCGTCTAGCTTCTTTGAGCATCATTAGTTTGTGAGGAATTTCGCGAAGGAATTAGTGTTTGAAGTTGGTTCTTCATTGTTCTGCAGCCATATGGCTTTTAGAGGAGACCGTTAGTAACCAACAAAATACCTGCCACTAGATGCCTTGAATGCACATTTGGTATGACATTATTTTGACTTCCGCTGAGTACTCTTCACATTCTCAATAATGTAGTATAAATCCTAACTGTTCTCAATTATAATTTGAATGGCATTTGTGAGGTACACAAGTACCATTGAAATTATAATTGAGGACAGCTAGTAAACATACTGTTTTATTGAGAATGTTCCTGCATGGAATCATTGGTGCAAGCGAAAAGTTTCGTTGGGTTACACGAATTGACTCTGTAACCGTTGTTTGACTAAACGAAACATCGTCAATATTTTTTCCAGAGGCTTTGAAATGGCTTGCGAGGATGGGATTGTGTTGCTTAGAATGACGGAAAAGGTCGAATCAGGCATTTTTGTATGCCAAGCAGTAAACAGTGTTGGTCAGGCAAGAACAGAATGTCGAGTACAGATTAAAGAACCCAAAACAACTTCACTTGAAGCAACGGTTATGGCGAGTAATATCAATTTTCTTGTCGACGCGGATGTTTTCGTAATTACGAAAATTAATTACGAAACAAAGGCAACCATAAAGATGGATGAGAAGCCGAAAAAGACAGATGCCGATTTTAAAATTATCATCATAATCGAAGAAAGTATTATTCGAACTAGAAAGTGTGCAAAAGTTATCGAAAGACGTTTCAAAATCGTTCGAACATATGGAGAAGGAGAGGAAAAAGTGATAGCATCCGGTCAGTTAGGACGGAGTTTAGAACAAGTGCGGCGTGCAATCGAAGCATTTCTGGTGGAAGAGAAACGAAAAGGCATCCTTGTTGAAGGCGAAAACCTCGAAAGAATTATTGAAGTTCTCCACGTACCTAAATTTAATCAGGCTACTGGAGAACAAGAGATGGAAGAATTCGATCATCAACCACCAGAAAGTCGTTCTCGTTTGAATACTGGAACATTCACTGAACGAATGAGCGGAATGACTGAACAACTTATACAGCGGAAAACATATACTATCAAAAGAGAAAGCGTTTGGGAATCAGACGAAGATGAATTGATGATAACAGATATTAACTGCATCTGTGCTCCACCCTTTGAGTCGGCCGAAGCGAACATCATTGTGAGATCTTGTGTGCAATATTCAGCCAGCGTTAACATTGTTTGTCGTGGCCATTCACCGACTGATGCAACAGAAACCTTCTTTGAAATCATCACTGAAGGGTGGGTCACTCGTAATATAAACCATGCATACAATGAACCAGCTGCACCTCGTTTTGTTCGTCCATTTTCCGTCGCAAAAACCTTCAGAAATATTTACGAACTGAGGTGTACAATAAGTGGCTATCCGTCACCAAGTATCCGAATACTTCATAACGGGATTCCAATTCGACACAACGACAGGTACTGAAAAATCGTCATTACGCTACGCTATCTCACACGCATGCTGCTTCATAATATGCTTTATGAAATAGATCAGTATAGATATGGACTACGCATTGAATTATGATTAGAAATGGGATTATTTTGATAAGAACGTTTTTTATTGAACTAAAAGACTTCATCTCTAAAGGAAAATTTAGTACGAATCATATGCTATTATTCACATTCGTAAGCTTGAGGAATAGTTTATTTTAAACTCTAAACGACACCATTACATTTAGGCGATACCGTATTATCTATGAATGTGGAATAGTGATATTACGAATGCTTCAAATACGAGAAGGTCATTACGTTTGTGAAGCCAGCAACAGTTCTGGAAAGGCAATCACCGAATGTTATCTGAAGGGTGATGAACAACTGAGTGATATATTTGAAGTAACCCGAGTGTTCGATAGGCATGGATTTTTACTACCGTCCGATAGAGCGCCCACTTCATATGTTGCTTTAACTGGGCAAGATTCTGTTCATCGAGCATTTCAATATCCCGCATTGAATTTTGGTGTAGCGAACAGTTTAGATATGCAACGGTTTTCGAAGAAGGAAATGACGTTCGAACGTTTGAGTAGAACACCACAGAGGAACGAATATCGGTCAGATTCGCAATATTCAACCGTGAAAATGTCTGGTGATATTGAAGAACCATTCTTACGCACTGGCATTAGTAGAACATGGGATCAATCGTATTCTGATGAGCATGTAAGCTGTACTAGGAAGCAGGAATCAAAAAATGAAACGGAAGAACGGCTTCCAACAGCAACTGATAGTAGACCGAAGGAAGGAACTGAATCCAGTTATGCAACAACCGATGGGACAATTTTTCGAGGATTAACTGCAGAAGAAGATGATACATCATTAATGGGGAAGTATGGTGGAACGAAAGAGGAAAATGGTACCGAAATGATACCATACGAAACACCGAATTTTCCGCTTCCATTGACCGATATTGTCACGGAACCCGTTGATTTCATTGAACTGAGGTGCATAGTGATTGGCCATCCGGAGCCCAAAATTCGGTTCATTTTCAATGATCATGATCTACAGTCTGATCTAAGGTAAATCATATCAGATCTATTTGAAACACCGGCAAAACATTCAGTTACATTTTCCGCATATGAAATGTTGTATTTTGCCCTGCAATTCAGTCAGCGACGCAGTGCTCAATTGCAGCGCAGTTTTACAGTTTTACACACAGCATTCAAGACATGTCACGTCCAATGATCAATGTTGACAATCACTCCCGAAAGCTTTGTCAATTCAAAAGAGTCCTTTTGAGCCGATCTTATAGTGCCTCTTGTATTCGAAGCCCAGAGAAAAGCATGTGCCTCTAGAGAGTATTACCGTTATGCTTTCGTTGCTGTAAATAAATATTATCGAAACTCAATCCTCCTTGTCAGTTGGCATTCCTGTTGTTATAGCCTCAAATGTTCTTACCTGCTGTGAACCAATCAGAAATATCGGTTAATCTGATTGTAAGCCGAATGAATTGAACGATTGTCTTTTATGACTTAAACTTCTTTTTTTTNTTTTTTTTCATTTTCATTAATTTGTGTAATTTCAGCGCACAGATCATTCACGAAGATGGCGTCGTGTTGCTTCGTAAAAGTGGTCCTGATATCGAAGGTCACTACATCTGCGAAGCAACCAACCAGATCGGGACTAGTAAAACAGAGTGCCATGTATATTTTAAACAAACAGTTGAAGACATGGAAAGAAACAAAATAGAATATTTCGAACGAAAAGAGACAAGAGAACGAATCACTCGAGTAAGTGAACATTGCATCGACAGCACTAGTGAATCCGAAACTGTCTCAAAATATTCACAGCAACAACGCAGAAATGTTCAATCACGTGACCTTTTCCCAGCTGATTCCAATCAAAGAGCGGTACAATTTCAGGTGCTTGGTCACGCTATCCAAAAAAGCGGAAGTGAAGGCAGTAGCGAAGGATTTATTGAAGAGAAAACATACTTGAAACCCTGTGATGAAACCGCAGCTTTAGATTTAACGTTCGGCCAGAAGACATCAGCTGACGTAGTCGAAGTGGACATGATCATTCGCGCAACGGGAAGGATATATGATGATAGCAACAAAACTGGAACTGTCAAGCATGAGCTCCATATCGTCGAGGAAGTCTGTTGTGAAATAAAAGCAAGAAAGAATGAGATAGCAGCCGTAGTAGAAATCACCGTTATCGATAAGATTGTGGCAGGCATAAAAAAACGTATATGTGACGGACCACACCAGCAAACTGACATGGATGAAAACGTTATCTGCGATCAAGCAGAAACAGTTGAAGTGACCACACCATTCCATACCATTCCCACTGAAGCTGCACATCTGTATATATCCAGGCCGTTGAGTAGTTCTGTTACTATGCAGGGTACTGAGTTAGACGAAATGTCCCAAGGATTCAGCAGTGTTGCACAGCGTATTTCTCATATGTCTCGCAGGGAATACGACAACTACTTGGAGGACAATGCGTTAAATATGTCTGAGCGAGACTTTGAAGAATTCTCACGACTGATTCGCATGTATATGTCACAGAATGAATATGAAAGATATCTTCAATTACGACGAAATTTAAGCACGATGAGGGCGACGTACGATGCAAGCACAGCTTACTCAGAAGGAACCATCCCACATTTCGTTGGTCAAAGAGTTGATTCAGCTTTTGTTGAGAAAGGAAGACAATTAAAGGAAGTGGCGTTAGGAAGAAAAACTAACGAACGTTTTGGTCTGTCGTTAGCTGAAGAACACAGCACTTCATCATCTCATTACGCACGTTTGGAAGCAGACAGAGGTGCAGAAGTTTTCGAAATCGTTGGTGAAAGGCACGAGAAAGCTAGCGTGGTCGCGTTTTTCCCCACCGAAAAAGTTAGTATGCGAGAAACTGGAACCTTCAGTACAGTTGGTACAGCGATGAGTGCACAAGGCGAAACACTGAGAGAGAATGTAATCTTTGAGGTCTCTAAACGTCTGGATCATCGGGATGGAACAAGAGCAATTGAAATGAGGCATTTACAAATTGAGGAAAGTAACAAGGAGATTTGCATCGAGAAGGACTCAAGTAGAGCAACCATTCAAGTTTGCGTGACTGAAGGAGGTTTTGTTGAGACAACGCGGCATCTTCATGCACATGTTGCTATGGAATCGGAGGCGATTGATGTAACTCTTGACAAGGAACAGCAAGTCCTATTTGCGGAAATTGCAATTGAACTTAATCAACAAGATGCCGTTTGGTTCGCTCTTGGTCGAACAATGATTGCTCTAAAAGGTGAAATCCAGAGGAGCCATACTGTGCTTGATATAGCAAGAGAGCACGTCGTTCACAAAATCGAGTTAATAGAGAAAATCATGCATCCACAAATGGAAGACACTAACAAAGAGGTTGATATGCAAAAAGCTCCAATTATGGCCAAACTTGATGTGCAAATCATTGACAGCATGATCCCCTGTATATCGTTGACGATTCCTCGCGTGATTCCATCAGAAGAGGAAAACTTCGAAGCGCTTATAAGCAAAGAGACAAGTAAAGAAGTCGTTATGGAGAGAACATCTTCAACCGCCTTCGTCGATGTAACTGTTCTGGAAAATGTATATGCCCAGTCTAAAAGATTAGTTACAACGGAAACAGTAAAGGAAACGGAGGCCGCAGAAGTCGTAGTCGATAAACCGTACCAACAACTCTCCGTCGCGGTCAACATCGCGGATTTCCAAAAGGAAGCTGTTTACTTCAGCTGGTCGAGAGTGGTGGAAATAACGAAAGGTGAAGCAGTTCATGAGCAGCTGGTTATTGGAGCGGCAGAAGCGAGGACTGTTGTAGAAGAACTAGTCAAAGAAGAAGTCAGACGCGAAGAAATTGAAGAGACAAGTAAAGAAGTCGTTATGGAGAGAACATCATCAACCGCCTTCGTCGATGTAACTGTTCTGGAAAATGTATATGCCCAGTCTAAAAGATTAGTTACAAGGGAAACAGTAAAGGAAACGGAGGCTGCAGAAGTCGTAGTGGATAAACCGTACC